CGATTGACAATTAAATAGAAAAAAAACATTTTTCGTTTCTATAATAATATTCGAAAGCTTTTGATAATTTCATACAATATTTTTAACAATTTAGTACATATTTTTCTCGTGTTGTAATCTGTTGCATAAACAACGGTCGGATCTAAAATGGTTTCTATAAAACGAATTCTCGTAAATATAAAGTCGAACAAAAATACTTATATAGTTTGTGGTAATGTGTAAAAAATGATATTTATGATTTTTAACATTTCAACCATGGAATCCGAAGTCTGAGAAATTCTGTCATTTTGTAATTTTAATGCCACAATCAATTTGTAAGCTTTATACTCACGCTGGCCCTAAGTAGCAGCTGATAAAATGGCCGCTCCCTGTAATCGAGTGGCTGTCGCAAGACTAGCGCTCCAACGTAAGAGTTCTGAGTTTTCTCCACGGTAATTATGCCGAACTTCTCGCAGGCATCGAGAAACTGAAAAAGAAATGAGAATTAACACATTAATAAAATATCACTGTATTAATTAATTAAAATTATGTAGGTTTACCGAACGCATTGACGCATACTGAATTTTTTAAGGGTGAACGTTTTTGGACGAACGTTTACGTCGATTTTGATTAATGCAATTGTGTGAATATGTATCTTAGCAGTCTATTTAAATCCCTAATATCCCAGATAGTAACGAACGAGCATTAATTTTTCTAAGATCAACAAAATAAATTGTACAATAAACGTCCGCGAACCTAGTGTTAATAACAAATTAGGGCAATCTTTCTTCGCAATGTTCGACGAACACGTGTACATAGTCTGAATATAGCTGATTTAAAAGGTTTTGAAAAAATACAATTTTCAAATGTACTCTTCTCGTTCTTTCCATTCTATATATAAAGACGACTGTTCATTTTTAATAAAGGTATGCTAGTAGTTTGTAGATTAATGGAAGTATTTCACTTCAAAGCTTATTAACGTGAAAGTTTGGCGAACATTTACTGGAATTCCTATTATATTCTTCATTCAACAAAATTATCTCTTGGAAGGTAATGTTCAGTTTTCTGAGGTATTTTATGAACAACTGAATTTAAACGGACACAGAAAAATGAATATGTGAAAATTAAACATTATTTTCTCGTGAATGAAATGCTAGTTTTAATTCGACGAATAAAAGCTTATGCGCGGTGCAGTGAAATAACGGAGCCAACCGATCAAATTGCTTGATATTATTGAATTGTTCGTAAGGGATGCCTTCCTGGAATTTTATTCCAAATATGGTTGCGTGCGTATCGGTAAATTTAAATCAAACATTTTTTATCCAATTTCGCTATTCAATTGCAAAACTGTAGAAACGGGAAAGATACAGAAAATTGTAAAAAAATATATTCACCATACAAAAAAACTACCGGTTTACAGTATCATTTCAGTGAATAATCGCGCTTATACCTGGTGATCCATTTATATTCGAACATGTTCCAAACTATTGACGATACAAAAAAATATGCGAGATAAAAGATGGTTTTAATCATCTCATATACGTAACTTCTTCCTGTATAGATGCGCAAGGAACGTACAAAGGTTAACTTCGTTTTTTAATTCGAATCATCTTTTTTAATATACTAATTGGTGCAGCTCGTTATTCATTGTGTAAAATTATTAAGTCACTTATAGTGAAAGAAATGATATCGATAATGATAATAATAATAACAATACCGATTATCAGGATTAATAATAACAATAATAATGAAATATTAATAATGATAATAATAATAATAATAATAATGTTAATGAAATAATAATAACAACAACAACAACAACAACAACATGCAATAATAATAATAATAATAATGAAATATTAATCCTTTGCACTCGTATGTCATAATAAATCGAGTGCAAAGGGTTAATAATGGTAATAATAATAAAACATGAATAACGTGTTATAATATTAAATAAATATTAACTCAGACTTAACTAAAACGCAATTTACATCTATTAGACGATGTGACTCATGAAACCGCCAAACTTTTGTCTGACATACATTTTTTTTACCATCGATGGTTTCGAAGATATTCGAATGGGTCTATTTAAATGGGTCACTCCATATATATCAGAAAAATCTATCTTAGGTCTAACTTCGCGAAATTTCATAAAAATCCGAGATATTTCCACTGTGTCAACGTTCGTGTTTGCAGAACGTTCGATATCCCGGCGATTTTCGGAATAAACGCCGCGTAAACCATTTATATCGTCTTTCGCGTGGCCGATATTTGAACATTTGTTGTACAGAGCTTTTAAGCGATCGAATCGCAAGAAAAACGACAATCGTATATATACAGTATGTCCGTTTCATTCGTGTAAGCCTGAATAGTCCCGAAATTATTGAGGATATGAAAAAGATTTCTCATGAAAGCTGTTCGACGTTATGGGAGACACTTAGTAAACTATTAAAATCTTTTTTAATGGAATTATGTATTTTTATTGTATGTTTGCTTATAACGATTATAATATAATTAATATTACATATAATAATATAATAATATAATTATATATAATAATATAATTAATATTATATATAATATTCTTCCTACGAATTATGTATTTTTATTGTATGTTTGCTTATAAGGATTACTTTTAATCAATAATGTATCGACAATCTTCGTGAATATTCGTAGAAAGAATATTATATATAATATTAATTACATTATTATAGTTAGACTCTCGCGAGTTATGAAGAAAAAATGTAGCGAAGGTGACACGTCCTCAGCGTCTAAATGTACTAACATAAATAATATTAAATAATAATTATCATTGCATTAATATATAAGTGAATATATAAAATTAGAAATAATGAATTAAAACATAGTAATTTATTAATTTATAAACAATTTATATATAAATATATCAATTTATATAATAATCGATTTAATAATAATCATTTAATATTATTTGCATTAACACATTGTTGGCCGGTAGGTTTACGCAGAAACTATCCCATGTCACCGGTTATTATTTCGTAATTAAATATGAAAGTGAAACAATTTAAATAAACTTCAATATACTTTATTTATATATAATGAATTGAGAGTAAACTTTGGACATAATTTTTATATAACTTTTTATTAAAAAACATTTTTTGCTTTTGCAATATTCTATATTACTCTGCATTTCAAAAATTGAAATAGCTAATACAAGTGCAAACACGAGTTAACTCGTGACCGGTCAACAATGTGTTAATATATTTAGACGTTAAGGAAGCGTCGGCTTCGATAGATCTTCTCTTCATAAGTAATTTTCTTTAATGATTTATACTATTGAATATTGAAAAATATCCTCGATACGTTCAACCCTAACGCCCTGGCGGAGAATAATCTACTTATTCGCGGAAATTCTGCGCGCGGTCCGGGAAGATGCAGCTGGAATATTAGCGGGTGCAACGCGTACCATCTACGTCATATCCGCTCGATAAATTCAGGGAGCCGTTAGATGGCCAATAAAACTGTAAAACTCTTTAACTAATGGCTCGACGATCTGAACTGTAATGTCTCCTTTCTTTAGGCAACGAAATGGCGGACGACCGTTGGTCATTAAATGTATCTTTATGTTTTCCAGTGGCTGCATTCTTTCATTGAATAATTGAATCTTTGAACGAATGCAACGTTAATTGTTTGCATAATTTTTAGAAGTTTTGGATTTGGTCCATGATGAAACTTATTCATATATCAAGTGATGTTTATGTCGTTAATCGATATATTGCAAGAAAGCAGTTGTTGATATTATTATTATTAGGTATTGAAAAATTTGGTGTTGGTTCTTAACTCATTGTCTTACTATAATGTGTCAGACTCGCGGTAAACATTTTACATATGATTTAACGGACAAAAATATTACTCAATTCCTTTGAATTCAAATTAAATATTATTCTACTGTCATTAATTATTATATTGTATGGAAAACATAGACATGGCATATGCAAAGAATTTTTCTCTTTTTTTAATAAATTATTACTCACAAAGTTGTTGTATCGATCACAGTTGAAAAATAAATCATGGGGCAAAGGGTTAAATCAAAACAGAAACACAGAGAACGTTTTAATCAAATTAGTTAATTTTATTTGGTACCACCGGCGGAAATATAACTTGCCAATTTCATTCGTTAAACTACTGAAATACTAATTCAAATCGGACCTCCATTCATTGCTAACAAGAAGTCCGCACGAACTTTTTCCGATATCTAATACATACAATGAAATGATATTTCTTGTACTTTTGTATTTCATTGTCTAATTGTAATATGTGTTGTAAATGAAAGTTCAGCTCATAAAATGTTAAAAAGTATACAATTTTGAGGTATTTAGAAAATACTTTACTGTGTACAAAAAGGTAATGCTGTGAATTATTCCCTTTTAAATGAGATAAATAGACTGTTGAAATTTAAGAACATATATAACACATCTTTACAAAGACAATGATACATATTATTAGTTAATTATAAGTGACTGATTGTGTTTTTTTTCATTATTGCAAATTTTAATGTCGGAGCTTTTATTTGACGTCGTTATAATGTGATTATATCAATGTCCCAAATTTCTGTTTTGCGGCTTTAATAACTTTGGCAAATTAATGGCTTGGTTAAACGAACGGAGATTACAGTGAATTCAATTTTCTTGATAAATGGTGCCAGTGCATTGAAATAAATGAAGTCACAACTATATTTAATTACATTAAAATTTTTATTTTGCAGCTTTGTGCAGACTTTTATATGCAATAAATACATGAAAATTCGAATATAATTGTATTACCACATATCGTGATGAAGAGTTATTTTTCAAATGTTATTATTTTCATTTCTGTGAATGTTAATGTTTTTGTTTCATTCATTTTATTTTTTTACAATTCAAATAAAATTTTTCATGAATTAAAAGTAATCCATATTAACTGTAAACATATTTTTTATTAATTTTACTAGTAGTATCCGTAATTCCAATTATAATTGTTCATCTTCCTTTCTTTTATTTTTATGTATTAATTAGGTACTTCGAATATACAGAACAAATAAACACAATTTAATTATGAATTATTAATTAAGTAGCAATATTCTTAAAATATATTCGAATAATTAGTAAAGAATAAATTTTATCGACTTTTCATAATATCAATGATTAAATAACATTAAGAGAAATTTAATTAAGTTGCATTGTAAATCTATCACACGAGAACTTTTAAGGTTTGATCAATAAAAGTTAATTAATGTTAATACGTGGAGGGAAAGTAATGACCGAACAATAGAAATGAGGAAGGACAACAGAGTTGTAATAATCGTGGGTTTATATTTAAAGCAATAATTTATACAGGCCAAAACTGTTTATCTGTGATTTAAACGAAGTTAAATAATATTTATCAAAGGAGCGGAGTACTTGCACGACACACATTATTATTAGTACTTGATACGATTACGGATTTAATAATTCTACGGATTTGATTTCA